GAATTTTTGATGCGCACATTAATAATTTAACAAATTTGTAAGAAAAACCAAAGAAGGTATTCATGGTGCAGATTTCAGATAAAAATTATGACCAAAGAACTATTGTCAAATCGGAAAAAGTTGAATTTTCAACTCTCATGAAGGTGAATATTCACCTCGAAATTTTTATTTTATTAAACTATTATTATTATTAAAAAATGAAAAACTAATTAAACTAATCTATGTATGGCAATGAAAATAAATTTTTGGTTTGAATATAATATTATATTTATTAATATAATATTTATTTTAAAAAATTCTGCCAAAAAACAATAAATATTGAATAATATGGAATTTTTTTAATGCTATCAAATTTCATTTTTGCGATGTTATTTTTGTTTCTTAATTGTTAATTTTTAGGAGGATTGGAATAAAACAAGGAACTTTGGCTGTGCAAAAAAACTTTGTTTTAATAAATTTTCCCGAATCGATTTAACTATTTGCTTCTACAAGTTGAGGTTTGATGAAAAATATTGCATTTATTTATTGCATTTTTCGTTAAACATAACAAATCAACGAAATGAATCGCGGCAAATAAATTGCACGAAAATTTTCCTTCTCAAGAATTTAGAGTTTGATTGGAATTTGAACTGTTAATTGGAATTTTAGAGAAGCGCCTGCAAAATCGCGGTATGCGATGAAATCTTCGAGCGGACAAAATCTTCCTCTGCAACTGAAATATGATTTGGAAAATCGACATTCTCATCTGAGTAATTTTATTTCCAATATAAGATAATTTTTAAAAACTGGAAACAATTTTAGAAGATTTCAGTCTATTTATAATTTAATTGCTGATAAATATTAGGCAAGAACCCAAGTACAAACACCTCAACGCAAAATAATACTGTAGAAATGTCCACTTTGGACGTAAATTCTTCGGCATCACAATTTGAATCATTCGACAGTGATTCCTCAGAAAGCGAGTCAGTAGAAATGGAAACAGTCTCAACATATCAGCCAACAACGATGGAGACAGTCTCAACGCATGAGACAACAAGGCTCGCCGACACCATGCAAGCAACACTTGGTTAATTATTATAACAATTAATTTTTCCATGAAGAAAAGGAACAAATTATATAAATTAATGCAATAATGATGAAATAACGTTAAATTGCGAAAAACTGCGCTAATTCTTCCATTCTTTAGGATGCTCAAAATCGAACATTACTGTTAAAGTGACATTCTCATCTGAGTAATTTTATTTCCAATATAAGATAATTTTTAAAAACTGGAAAGAATTTTAGAAGATTTCAGTCTATTTATAATTTAATTGCTGATAAATATTAGGCAAGAACCAAGTACAAACACCTCAACGCAAAATAATACTGTAGAAATGTCCACTTTGGACGTAAATTCTTCGGCATCACAATTTGAATCATTCGACAGTGATTCCTCAGAAAGCGAGTCAGTAGAAATGGAAACAGTCTCAACATATCAGCCAACAACGATGGAGACAGTCTCAACGCATGAGACAACAAGGCTCGCCGACACCATGCAAGCATCACTTGGTTAATTATTATAACAATTAATTTTTCCATAAAGAAAAGGAACAAATTATATAAATTAATACAATAATGATGAAAT